AAACAGATTATTTTGAATCCTTCTTCATGTAGGAAAAGTAAAATTAGCATCGGTTAGGTAGGTTGGCCGCGGCGGGTAGGCATCAGCTGGAACCTTTGCTCCTTTCCATTCTCCATTTTTTCATTTGTTTTTTTTTTGGGATTCATCAATATCAGCGTCTTTGATCTACTCCTCAATATAAAATTGAAAATAAAATGAACTCAGAAATTCAGGTTGTCTCCGTGGTAACTCTATTATTTTACATCCTTAAGTTGGATGTTAGGCATGAATTGAAACACCCTAACCCGGCCGGGTACTACTTTTATGAAAATGCCCTTGATAAATAAAATGCTCAAATCTTAAATTGCAGCGGGAAAAATTTTCATAAATAAAATACTGAAAACACACACTTGTAGTTCAGAGCAAAGCCCTAACACGTGGGCAAATTAAACTCAAACTTTAAATCTCAATCTGTTCTCCAGTCTATACTCATAATCATAAAATGTAAATAACTAGGTAGTCTCTATCGTTGCTGCTACTGAAAATCTTAACTAGGCATCCTCCGTGATGCACTGCCCTCCTCTAGCTGGTTGCTCTCGAACTTTTCCTCTCGAACTCACTGCTCTCTAACTGCTCCTCTAGCTAGCTGCTACCGATCTGGTTCTCGCTCATTCCCTTACTAAGGCCTGGTGAGTGAGTTGGGGTCAGTCTACGCCCTTACGTTTTAATAATTCTAATACTTGAGTACTTTACTTAAACACTTAACTTTGACTAGTGGAAGTTGTTTGTACTTTCAATCTTAAAATCTTAACTCTTAAACTTTGAGGGAGTTGAAGTTACTCTCCTCTCTTAAAGCTCAAATCTTGACTTAAATACTTGACTGACACGGGGATCCCTCACTAGCTAGTCCGGTTGCCAACTCATACGTATGACAAGCCATCCAGGCTATCCTTAACTTAAACTTAGTTAGGGGAGTCGTAACGATTCATCCCCCTAACATCTTAAACTTATCGTGGTGGCTCTTCACCATGATTCTCAAGAGCATAACTGCTGCTCATCTCAAAAGTTTCAAGAGCATAACTGCTGCTCTATCTCAAAATGTCTCAAATGGCAACGGACTGGCGCTAGTGACTAAAAACACTTAAAACGACTTCACCTTCTTGTAGGTGAGTTACTTCTTAAAAAGAACTTGTTTCTTAAACTTTAACCATAGCTCAAACATAACGCTTTAAGGTAAATAGCACAAAATCACCTCAAATAGCACAAAATCATCTCAAATCATAGCTCAAACAAAGTACAAATAAGCAACCATAAACATAACCAAGCAACGGTAACCAATTCGCTAAAATACTCAAAATCATAATACTTAAAAGGATACATAAGGCGTAGAATTTACCCCCTTTACACTCACCTTACTTCCGTCGGAACTAGCTTGATTTTGCTCCAAAGTTTCCATACTCGCTTCCACATACACTCGTACTTGTTTGAGTAAAATTAGCAGCGGCAAATGAAATTAAATGCACCGGCTTTATTTTGGTCATTATTGGCCGCCCTGAATCCGCCGGCCCTCATGCTTGCTTCCCCTCGTCGGCCGTCTGTGCCACAGGGCAATAATCATGCGCTGCTTAAGCAAGCATCTCTCATAGTAGGGAGAATGAGTATGCGCTTCTGCCCTAATTTTCCGACACCACATGCTTGGTTAGGTGCCGCCTCATGCCTGCTTAGTAATGGCCTCCTTCTACCTGCTTAATCATGGTCGCCTCCTATCAATCTCCTGCTGAATTGTCAACCTGGTTGAATAATGGTCCTGTGGGGGTGATTACGGCGCCTTGCACTTCGCAGGCGAGATGAGAAATCGCCTCATGTTTGCTTAAGCTAGCACCTCTCCTTGTAGGGGGGTGGGCACCAATTTCCCCGGAGAGGCATCGCCTCCTGCTTGCTTAAGCTATCACCTCCCGTGGTAGAGAGAATGATCAGTCCTCTCTCCCAAACTTTGCTTTGGTTTCCCGAGAGCAAGTTGCTTTCGATGGAGCAGGGCTGCGAGGGTTTTATGGTGAGGCCGAGTGGGTTATGTAAGGGTTTTATTGTTGACCGTGAACTCGACTCGCGGTAGTAACTACGGATTTCTTCCTGAATGCATCGCGGTTCACGGTTTTGGGCTTCAGTTCACGGCCATAGTGGACCGTGAACTCCAATGCTAACTCGTGAACTCCGCCTGGGTCACCCTCTTTGCCCGGTCTTCACCTCTTTTCGTCCAATTTTCGACTCCTGGTCTTGTTTCACCTATTGGATCCTAAAACACACTAAAACGCACAAAACCTAGCGTAAAACCACCCTTTTAGGAGTCCAAATGCTAAAACGCCAAAGGAAAACGGGGATAAAATGTGTGCAATTAGGCCCGAATCAGGCATCAATGATGAAATCTTTCTAGTTGAGCTCTAGCAGGTATCAATGGTGATTTCTTTCTAGTTGAGCTCCAGTAGGGCTTTGCCTCCTCTTCTACTGATTGCTACTCATGTCCAATGGGGCAGATTGCGTGTAAAAAGCATCTCAAAAGTCTAGGTCTGTGCCTCTATTTATACTAGTTACATAAGGTGGTTTTTTAGTCTTTTCCTTTCAACCTGTGGAAAAAGTAATTTCTTCAGGAAGTCTTCTTGACGAATTAGGGCTTGCGGTGGTGAGTACCGATGTTGGGTTGCTCCTGGCCTAATTAACTTATCCTCCAATTTGTAGAGCGGTGGTTAGTTAAAAAATATCTCATGAGCCTTGGTCCAAGTTTGGTCTACTGATTCAACAAAAAAAAGTTTGGTCTACTGTACTACTAAATCTACTTGTTTTGGGCATAAAGTGATTATCTGATATCCAAATCCATCTCTGTTTGGCCCAAGTTTGTATTCCCCTCCTCCTTCTGATCTTTAAGGTATCTTCATGATCCAAATATGTTTTTGAGTGGTTTATAACCATGAAAAGCACAAAACAACACCTAAAAGGTATCATCATAGTCAAACTCTTTTCACCGATGTGATTACATTGTGGTTAGGTATCCCTTTAGTCGGTTTCAAAATTTCTGTGATTAAAAAAAATCTATCGTTGCCTTTTCTCTTGTAATGTGAAAAAAATTATGGGTTATAGGTATAATATAACCCTCTACTATGTCGTTTTATCATACATGCCCCTCTACTATTTTTTCCATCAAACATGCCCCTGTACTTTGGAAAAATGATCAAACATGCCCTTCTGCTAAAATTTTCATCCAAAAATCGTCAGCCATGGTCGAACGTTGGCTTGGGCAACATAAATGTCTAAAATATCCTTGATAATTTCACTTTAGAAGTGTTTGGATTCTATTGTAGTGCCAAATACCTCTAATAATTTAACTTTAACAAGAGCTAGAGAAATAAATCAAGGGAAAAAACTGACATTTCCCTCCCATTTACAGATGTCGGATCGTCTAAATCTCGGTTCAACCATTGTTGACGATTTTTTAATGAAAATTTAACAAAAGATCATATTTGATCATTTTTCCAAAATATAGGGGTATATTTTATGTAAAAAATAATAAAGGGACATATTTGATAAAACTGTATATTAGAGGACATATTATACATGTAACCAAAAAATTATTGATGTTTTTGACATGCTACTCAAAGGAGCCGGAAGAGTGAAAGGGCATTCCACCAAATATTGATTCCCAAATCCCAAGTAAAACTTTTTCCTCCCATCACTATACCGTACTCATATATCAAGGAAAATATAATGCATACTTTATATTTTTCTATACCTGTTTTCCCTTTTGTGATACTTGATTGTTTATTCAATAAGAAACCTGAAAAAATAAGTAACCTATAGAAAACAACAAATCACAAATGTCAACAGATTTGGACAAATAATCCGCAGGTTTCCGACTAAGCCTGATTTTCTCTGGTCGTAAATCTCCATGTACTACTACTCTACTATCCAGGGGCGGACCTAGGGCTTGGAGAGGGGTGTCGTCCGACACCCCTCCGCTCGAAAATTTTGTGAAGGACCTCCATTTTTTCGGTACAAAAAATATTAATTTGAGACTTCCGACACCGCTCTAATAATTATAAGCGACACACTTTTATTATAAGAAAATAATTTAATGTTATAAAGTTATTCATCATAATTAGTAATTAACAATATTAAGTAAAATCAAATAAGCGTGCTTGTTTTAAGTAACCCACAAACCAATTTAACTTGTTAATTTGTAGTTAATAGGTGAATTGCATAGATTTATGGGAGATTGTGGCTTGATTTTGGTTAATTTGGTCGAACTAGAGAAAAAATGCTGATGATATTGCTTTAGACATATTTTGTGTTGTCTAAAATTGGCAATTGGTTGATCGTGGTTTACTATATTTGACTGTAAACTATTTTATTTTAACTTTGATTTTAGACGTAGGTCGATTCTCTGTGGTTGGGTGACTAATTTATGAATAATTATGTAGTTGTGTATATAGAAAAATGTTTGATTTGCAACATAAGCGATGATTGTATTTTTAAAAAAATTCAGGATATGAAAAATGGTCATAATTCGTAATAAACATGACGTTGTCAACTTATAAATGAATTTCCAGTAATTTCTATTAATTTTTATTTAATTATTACAATTTTTTATCGGCGACACCCCTCTTCAATAATCCTGGGTCCGCCACTGCTACTATCCTTATGCGCGGGAAAAAAAACACTCAATTTAGTAAATCAGGTGTGGGGGAAATCAAGTAATTAATCATTTAATTAATTCCCCTCAGATTATCTTAATGTTAGCAATTCAATCAAAGCCGTCGATTCTCTGAGCTTAGCTTCTCGGAGTTCACATTGCATTGATATGACCGAGATGATATTTAATAATAATAATAATAATAATAATAATAATAATAATAATAATAATAATAATAACCCAATGACTCTATTTTTTCTACAGTTATTTTCGATTAAAATTTTTCCTTACCTTCTCCAACCGAACCGATACAGAGAGTAAAGACGAGAGAATTTTCCCGGAAAAAGAAACTTCTTAATTTTCTGTTTGGCTCCTGAGTCTTGCGATTCATTCTCTTCCCTTCCCCCTCTCTTCTTCTCCCCCTTTTTATTTTTCTCTCACTTTCTCCTGAGTAACTCTCTCGCGCGGCTGCTCGCCATTCCAATCCCGTGATCAAATTCAAAGTTTTGATCCTTTAATTGCTTCGGTTCACATTTCTGGGTTCGGCTCCCAGCAACGGAGGAGCTGCTCTCTCGTCTCGGTTCGTGATTTCCGCTGAAAAAATGGAATCTCTGTGGTTTGGTGGGGCAATTTGGGCAATGCCATTGCTTTGTTAGGGATTTCGCTCTCGAGAGAATTGAACTGGTTCGAATCGAGAGCCCCTTTTTTAATTCCCAAAAGAAAGAAAAAAACTCAATTTTTTCTTCGATGAAGCGGCGATGAGGAGAAGAAGAGAGGAATGGAGATTAGATCTGAGAGCGTCGGGTTGAGGTCGGAGAAGCTTGGTGGGTCCAGTCCAGTGATCCCTAGGAAAAGGTTGCAGGTGTGGTTCATAAGGGTTTGCTCCAGTATTCTCGTATGGACTTGCTTGGTTCAGTTGGTGGCAGTTGGGGAGCTCTGGCACCCTCGTTTCATCACTAATTTAACTACTAGATTCTCTCAGATCGCCGGGCCTCTTCACGTTCAAGTCGCCGTTCAGCCACCGCCGCCTCTTCCTCCACCCAGTGAGTCTGCTTCCCTCCTTTCCTTTTCTGCTAATTCTTTCCTCATTTGTAATTGTTGGAATGGTGTGGGAATTCTGGTGATTTTATTTGGGTAGATGACGTGCTGCTGCAAGTTTGAATATTTATTATTCATGGCTTCAGATATTTAAAAGAAAATTTTGGTTGCAGTTGGAGTTGACTGAGACTATATAAACTAGTCTAGGTTGGAATCTTGCTTGTGATCTCTCATCCAATGCAACTCTTTCTTTCTTTCTGTCTCTCTTCCTTGTACTAAAGTCCTCCCTCGGAGTGTAGCATTTACTTCTCAGTGTCCATTGGCAGCTCCTGGGGTTCTCAGTTGCTTACATTTGGATTCCTTTAATTCAAAGCTGCCTTTCAAACTGTCTTCTAAATCACTGCTCTTACGTGCTGCTTTCGCTAGTTCCTGTTATGTGGCTTCTGGTTGAAGGATTCCAGAGTTGGTGGTGCTATTACTTTCTGATTAGTAGCTTTACTTGTGAATGAATGGCCAGGAATATAGATGGATTACTGGGAGGATGAATAAATGGATATATCACGTTAATAATGCTGCATCAATCACTTGGGAGTGTCGAATTCTCAGCGTATCAATCACATAGTCCTGTTTTTCAATTACCCCATGCAAATCTGTTTATACTTTTCGCAGATTGTGTTCAACATCCAGTGAAGATAATATTGATGTTAAGTCACTTACAAAATGTTGCAGGAAATTATACCAGTAATGGTTTCCTTAAGGTGTCCTGCAATGGGGGTTTGAATCAAATGCGCTCAGCGGTCTGTAATCTTACCTCTTCTCTCCTTTACATGCTCCATATCTCTCCAGATTATTAACCCTAGAAGGATGCCATTTTCCTAGATTTGTGACATGGTGGCTGTTGCTCGCCTATTGAACCTTACTTTGGTTGTTCCAGAGCTTGATAAAACGTCTTTTTGGGCTGACCCCAGGTAACTTTGCTTTCCTCTATAAGCTCTGATGTAAGTTCTTCTCTTATGTTCTCCTAAATGATTCGACTTTCATCTTTTCCTCTACAGTGATTTTGAAGACATCTTTGATGTGAGACATTTCATTGACTCGCTGAGAGACGAAGTTCGAATTGTTAGAAGACTTCCAAAGAGGATTAGTAAGAAGTATCGACATGGAGTATTGGAGATGCCACCTGTTAGCTGGTCAAATGAAAATTACTACTTACAGCAGGTGTGATCAATTCTTCCTAGCTTTTATTTCTGCCTGCTGATGGGACTATTAGCTGAACATTGTGGCCATGTAATTTTCCCGAGTTTCCATTTTCCCTTACCGTTGCACTTTCCTTGGATTCTTGCACCACAGATTTTGCCACTTTTCAACAAGTCAAAGGTGTTGCACTTTAATCGTACAGATGCACGCTTGGCTAATAACATGATTCCACTTGAACTTCAGAAGCTCCGGTGCCGTGTTAATTTTCAGGCACTAAAATTCACTCCTCAAATTGAGAGTTTGGGGCACAAATTGGTACACATTCTTCATCAAAGGGGACCTTTTATGGCTTTGCATCTAAGATATGAGATGGACATGTTGGCCTTCTCTGGTTGTACCCATGGTTGTAAACAGGAAGAAGCCGAAGAGCTCAAACGGTTAAGGTATGTAGTTTTTTGCAATCAAATACATTGCTCTTGTGATCATATTGCATCCAAACCTTTAGAAGAAAATACTAGACTGTACTGAATATCTGCTGTGAGTTTGTGGAGAGGAAAGCTTAAACAATGACCAGAGTAGTCTTGCATGAGTGACATGAAACAATCTCGAAACAACGTTTTATCTTTCTTTTCCTCTTTCGGTCACCTGGTTGATGTCATAACTTGATATGTAGTCTTGAGAAAGGGACCCCTGCTAATCAATTCTTAAGTTGATTTTGGTTCAGCATGTAAGATTTGGGAGCAATCTCCTCTACTCAAAATATTTCCGTGCCTGGGTTGAGGTTGATATGGTCGCATTTCTCTGTTGCAAATGGATGATGGTGTTAAGGTTATTCACCAAGTTGAACTTCTGAATCAGGTATGCATATCCTTGGTGGAGAGAAAAGGAGATAAACTCTGTGGAGAGAAGATCCCAAGGTTTATGCCCTCTAACGCCAGAAGAAGCAGCATTAGTTTTACAAGCATTAGGGATTGACAAGGAAACTCAGATATATGTAGCAGCGGGTGAAATATATGGCAGTGAGCGAAGGCTTGCAGCATTAAGAGCTGCTTTCCCTCGTATTGTGAGTTTCTTACTGCTTGACTTCTTAAATATCCATTGTTTTATTCACGAAATCTTGGCCTCACAAATATCTTCAGGTGAGGAAGGAAACACTATTAGATCCATTGGAGCTGCAGCAGTTCCAGAACCATTCATCTCAAATGGCTGCCCTGGATTTTATGGTCTCAGTAGCTAGCAATACTTTTGTTCCTACATACGATGGAAACATGGCTAAAGTGGTTGAAGGTCATCGCAGGTACATAGTCATTGTCTATGCTTCATTATTCTAGTTGCTAAAGGGTACATTCACCAGGGTTGTGTTTGTTTGAAATTCGCTCAAAATAAGTAATCTTTTTGAAGTTTTAGTAGAAAGAAGAGATTCCAAGGAGCAAATTTGGAAATGAAACTTTATCAGGAGGTGACTTTTACATTTGAAAGACTTGGGATTTAGGGTAAAAAGTTAGATTAGAGTGTAAAGTTTGTTGTAGCTACAAGTTAACTATTTTTTGCTGTGTAGTTATTTTTTGCTGAAATAAAATATCCCAGATATGGTTTCTGACTATAGAGCTTGGTGTAGGTATCTTGGATTCAAAAAGACTATCCTGCTTGATCGAAGAAAACTCGTAGAGCTGCTGAATTTGCATCAGAATGGTACACTCCCATGGAATGAATTCACAGTCGCTGTAAGGGAGGCACATGAGAAAAGGATGGGGCAGCCAATTCGCCGCAGGGTTATCCCAGACAAGCCAAAGGAGGAGGATTACTTCTACTCAAACCCTCAAGAGTGTCTTTGTGAGGCAAACAATTGCGATGACTTACTTGGCAGGGGTAACTCCAACTCCAGTTCTGTCCCCTGATGATGATGGCATGGCATAAGTGTTGTAGCTCATGACACATCCAGGAGGGAAGCTCGCAAAGGAGGCGAGGTGTCCCCCTCTCAATGTTATGCACAGGCATTTGGTGGCTTTAATGGCTGCAATGAGACTCAGAAGTTTATACACACAAGTTCAGGCTCTTTGTAAGAAACAGCAAGGAAAAGGTGATGCCCCATTTAGTTCCTTTTTTGTTTGTTTTACCTTTGTCGATAGTTTTTTATTCTTTTTGTTTTTCCCCACATTTCCCTATGGCGAAGATCACTGAGTGTCTTACCAAAAAAAAAGATCACTGAGTGTTAGATAATATCACGGTTCCATAGTTGCAAGTGTAGCATTCTCATTTTCCTGCTCAAGAACATTTGGTTGTAAGCCTCTGGTAGTCACACTGCCCACATCAAAGAAAAAAGAATTTCCTTTAGCATTACATACATCGACTTTCGCTCCCACGTTAAAGGTTCTCTCCTCTCTGATTAATCAGAAGTTCTGCTGACAAGTAGTGCCCTGAAGATGATACCACCTTGGTTTCCGACCAGGCTAGGATCCTTGAGCCTTATTTCTTGGTAGTATTTGATCTTGCCCAGCTCTTTCTCACGTTGCTTGAAAAAATCATCAGTGTGCTGCAAAACCTTCTTCTCTCCGGCTCTTACTCCCACTGCAATACCTAGTCTTGCACGCAAACCTCCCATTTCCATCAGCTTCTCATCCTGTTATCAGTTTCCCCTCCCAATCAGGTTACTGGTACCTGAAAAATGCTAAAGAGTCTAAAGGCGTGTAAGAGAGCTCCCACCTGTACTATGGCGGTGTGATTCCCAGAAAGAGCAGTTCCGTAGCTATTTCGAGTCACCCGGCATATGAGCTCCAAGCGCAATGAGGCGCAAGTATGGAAGCAGTTTAGGCGGTAGAGGATAGCCTAGGATTATGTCACTCTCTGCCTCTCTCCGGAGCCATTTGTCTCGGCTATATCTGAGCTTTTCTTGGATGAACTGATCTGTTTCGGAGATCTGAAGGGTCACTGTATACACGTTCCGGTTGAGTTTTGACTGTATGAGTCCTTAGTCTAGAGCTAGTTCTGCGTTGCTCCAGTTTAGATCGTACTGAATCAGAACCTGTTGAATTAAAACCCCCGGAAAGCTCAAGTGAACACAGTTTCAGGCAACCTAACAATTTATGGCGTTCTACATTTCATCAAGTGTTTAGCGTTAGAGGATGTGAGCTGATTTGGCCTCGCAAACGGCTAAGAATATGGTAAATTGAAATTGTACAAGCAAGGAGAAAAAGATACATGTGAATCCATCACCAGCCTTCACTGGGACTGGGGATTTCAAAGAAAATGAGATCTCTGGAGAGAAAAAACCGGCACCTTTAATCTCATAAGCATAATCTTCAGTCGTTATATCAGGGCTTTGATTCAACTAAGGACATTCCAGAAAGCATATCACAGAAAGCAACCATTAGCTACTTGTTCTGGGAAAAGGGGTTCAATTCTCAATAGTAGACTTATTTTTAACCCTCTTAGGAAAAAAGAACAGGCTGACCAAGTCTGCTAGAGGGATGAGAACAAGATTTTTGCCATAAAGACGCGAGATTGCTCTTGATTCTGGGACTCCCATTGCCCAAGTGAAATCTTCCAGTGTCAATTGTCCAAAGAAAAAAAAAAAAAAAAAAATCTTCCAGTGTCAGGGGGAAGGAAACAGGCAAACAGATGTGGCTTAGGCTCTAAAATCTCTTCTTCAACTCTCTTCAACTCCCGCCCAAGTATTGCTTTACTGCTATAGTTGTGCTCAGCAGTTGAATTTGGAAAGGCATTAGGGAGAGAGACAGATACTATCATTGCAAAATATAGTAAAGCATGGAAATTTTCTTGGCAATCTGAGAAAGCACAAAAATGGCGACCAAACTTGAAGTTCGCCAAGCTCCGCTTTTGACAAACAAACGAGTTCATCAGTCCACAAATGTCAATCAATCACATAAACCCGGGCGGGAGAGAGATCACCAGAATATAGTGGAATCAATCACTATCAGTGGTCTCCACAAGGCAGCACATCCAAAGTAAGCCTTCAAATCGGAGCGCCTTCCTTCTTGGCTTCAATCCAGAGCTTCTTGGGCATTTCCATTACGGCTTCGATTCTTCCAATGTCCCTTCGCCCTACCAGGCCCAGATCACGCCTCGCTCTCTCGCTCAGACATTTCCAGAACCGTCGATTAGAGAACTGCGTCGAGCGGAGAAGGAAAGAAAGCCGCCATTTTTTGGGGCTTCAGAAGGTTTTCCAGTGAGAAACTGTCCGGAAATGGGAAAGCTGTCTATCCGGAATAGAAGGGATTTCGTTCCATTACCGTTAAGAAGGTTTGATTTCAGATACTTCCGTTTTAGTATGGGATAATATTTAGGCTTAATATACATATTCATAACTATTCACGTTTGACAAACATAGCCAAAATTTAAAAAATACATAAATATAGCCATACTTTTAAAATTAATTTGTCAAATTTAGCCATTTACGCTAAATACTTTAACACCCTTAACAGCTCCATCAATTAAGTGAAAATTAAGCTTACGTGGATGCCACCTGTACAATACATCATCTCCAACTCAGCCATGTCATGACACATATCTGCCACTTGTGTTTTGTAAATAAACTCCAAAAATTTAATTTTTAAGAAATAAATGATTTTAACTTGTTTTCTATTTCTTTAATCTTTCGCTTTTCCTTTTCCGATGCAAGCCACTGTAGATTAGGGAAGGGATGGGGAAGCTGGTTCTCGACGGTAGCGGCAGCGACATTCGTCTTGGAGGAGAGAGTGACGTCTAAGATCTTATCCCGATTTCGAAAGCTGGAAATCCATAGAACAACCACTACCACCCATTGGAGAACAGTTTCATCGATTCCGGAACAAAACTCACCGGGAAATGCGAGGAGGCTAGTTGCAGAGAGGGAGATGTATCAGTTGAGAGAGAGAGAGCACTCTAAGAATCGCCGACCCGCTCCTCCTCCTTCGAATTCGCTCCGCCACGAACTCCTTATACCTCTGTCCCTGCCTTCCCCGAGCTGTCACACGGTCACTAGAATCCCATTTTATAGCACCACTCTGTACACAATCCCCAACATCTCGATCTCCCTCGATCTACCTCCTCACCACGGAGATGACGAAGAGGACGGTGATGAAGGTCAGAGGAAGGACGGGTGATGGCGAGTCGGATCTGTATCCTGACGGGGGAAATTTTTGAATTGGGGAAGTTTTGTTCGATTGGGTTTGTATATTGGGGATTTTCGAATAAGAGTAGAATTTTGAGGCTAGCCTCATAGAATATGAGAAAGAGATTTTATGGCTAGACACAGCTCTCGATTCACTCGCTAGAAGTCATGAATCCCTGACGGGAAGGGATGGGATGGTGGGGAAGGTCAAGCGGCGATGATAGATATTAGATATGAGTTTATTTATCTTTTTATTATTTTTAATTTTTTGGTTTCTTTTTTCCCGGTTAGTATTACAATAAAAAAAAGTAATTTCCAATTTGGCAAAAAGTCACCACGTCATCAAATGATCTTAGTCCAGTCAGCATATATCACTGTGCCGTTAAACTTATGGACGGAATGGCTATTTTAGTGTATTTTTTTAAATTTGGCTATGTTTGTCAAAACGTGGATTGTTATGGCTATGCAGGTGTATTAAGCCTAATATTTAGGGATTTTTATTGGAAATACCACTAAATAAATAAAAATTCCAAAAATACCACCCATTTCAAAAATTCTAAAAATACAACCATTTTTCGAAAACCGCTTGGCAACGGCGCAGTTTTTGCTGAAAACCGCATATGGGCGGGGCGGTCTAACAAACCGCACCGGGAAGCAGCGGTTTATGTGCAAACTGCCCCCCTAAGCTAGGGTTTGTAAGTATATTTTTTTCTTCTTCGATTAACGCCTCACCTAAGTTGAATTTTGGGCGTCCGGGGGACAGCAGAGGACACGCGGCGACGACGGTTGTATTGGGTCGACACGTCAGAGGCGGAGGTGTCATCACCCATGCGTTAGCTCGCCACATGTCATGCTTTCCCGTGCCATGTCTAGGCGCTTAAGCCATGTGGCAGGTCATGGCCTAATAAGGGTGCCACGTAAAGGAGAAAACCGCTGTGAGCGGCGAAGGTGGTAAGCGTCGTGTGCAATGAGACCGGTGAGCGCCATCGGCGATGAGCGCCGAGACAGTGAGACTGGTGGGAGCCGTGGGCGGCGAGACCGGTGAGCGCCGCGGGCGTCAAGCGCCATCGACGATGAGTGCCGAGGGTGGTGAGCACCGTCGGCAATGAGACTGGTGAGCGTCGTTGGCGATTATGCTGGATGGGTGATCGCCGTCGGCAAGACCATCGGCAACGAGAATGGTCAGCATCGTCGGCGATGAGCACCGAGTGGGTGAGACCTGTGAGTACCATGGGTGACGAGACCAGTGAGAGCCGTCGGCGATGAGCGCCATGGGTGGCGAGAACGGTGAGGCTGTATGCGGCGAGCGCCATCATCAATGAGCGCCGAGGGAGGTGAACGCCGTCGATGACGAGACTGGTGAGCGTCATCGGCGATGAGCGCCGAGGGGGTGAGACCGGTGAGCACCGTGGGTGACGAGACTAGTGAGATCCGTTGGTGATGAGCGTCGTGGGTGGCGAGACCAGTGATCGTCGTCAGGGAGACTGGGTAGCGCCTTGGGCGACGAGTGCTGAGGGCGGTGAGCACCGTCGGCGAGGAGAGCGGTGAGTGTCGTCGGCGATGAGCATCGTGGGCGGTGAACTTATGACGTGGTACAAATGTTTTTACATGGGGTCCACCACCACGTACATTCCGAAATTATGGCTATGATAAAAGTTGTAGTCCTTGAATATTTATGCGAAATAAAAAAAATTCAAGGCGTTCGGAGCACAAAGTTATGGATGTTCAAAGTTTGGCGAAATTGGAAAAAAGCTCGTTCGGGGTAGCAAATGACATTTTTTCGGGAGGCAGGACCAAACTGCATACGACATTTGTGGCTTGCAAGATCTCGAAAAGTTATGCGGAATAAAAATAATTGTTATGATCGGATTCCCGAGCACAAAGTTACGTTCGTTTAATTTTCGACTTAGGTTAGGCGTCGATCGGAAAAAAAAATATATACATACCAAAACCGCATGGGGAAGTGGTTTGCATCAAAACCAGCTCGACCCCATGCGGTCAAGTAAAACGCCCCTGCCCGATGCGGTTTTCGAAAAATGATGGTATTTTTGAAATTTTTCAGACATGGATGGTATTTTTGGATTTTTTTTCTTAATTAGTGGTATTTCTGGAAAAAAATCCAATATTTGGCTCCAACCCCGGTTGAAGGAGTTGCCTACAACCCACTCACGTGGCTTATAGGTATTGGACAAAAATACCTTTCCATTTGTAACTTGTAGACGGAAAGCAAACGACAATTTTTTTATGCAACCTATTCCTTTTAATGAGAAAACGCAAACAAATAATTTACAAGAACAAAGTAATTCATAGGGATTTTTTTTGTTTAGGTTATTTGACTCATCCCGAATATCACAACAAATTTCCACCTAAGGCCCAAGTATAAACCTTATATGGGTGTAATACAGTGCAAATATGTTTAAATATCAGCCCAGGCCGGTCCATGTACCCATACTTCCATTGTTTGAAACATTATCTAGCGGATTGGTTTTTGGTTGAAAACTATGTGGTTTAAATCAAAACAAAGCTAAGGCAAATGGTTTGAAAGCTTTAGATGAGAAGGATCACTCGAGTGTCGCTTCCCCCAAACTACTACCATAGCACGTGGAGTCTAATGAGACGTTATGGGCAACGCAATCATGAACCGCTAGGAGGTGGAACTATGGTCGAAGACCACACTCTCAATTGCCAAACCAAGGGATACATTATAGGCTAGTAGAGTAGCCCTCTTGGTTAAGGCAATTGAGGGTTGACTTACCTTCTCCCTCAAACCGATGGTTGGACGGCTTAATCTCGATTAACCCAGTCGATTAATTCAAGATAAAGGTTTGCCCTACATTAAATTAGGTAGGTGGCTTGAAAAGCTAAAGGAATCCCAACTCAATTGAGCCTCTTTTGGAAAGGGGGGTTTCCCCTCTAACCTAGGTTAGAATGGCCAATTAGATTGCTAAGCACAAACATGCACAATCATCATGAAAAATACCTTAATCATTAAATTAAACAACACCCTTAAACAATCATTCAATTCACACTACAACGACACGGCAAATAGTTAGGGTTTCACAACAACCAAGTAAAAAAGGTAACTACTCCATGCTAGAAAGGGGAAGAACACAAAAGAAATAAGTAGAAACCATCATGGTGATGCCTTGATAGACCATTAATTGAACATGTTTATACCACCATTCTTGAGCCGTTTGAGAGTCGATTCTCGTGTTTTAAGCCGATTTCACACTAGGTTGTGCGTTTATGTCATATTTCAGGACTTGGCGTGGACATGGAGGCGTGGAAACGAGTTTCGGGTCAAAAAGGAGGAAGTTGGAGTGAAGGGCGATGGAGGAAGAAAATACCCGGTCGGCCCTTGAAATACCCGACCGGGTAAAGTTGTTTTGGACACCAGAAATCCAAAAGGGGACCCGGCCGTGGAGCTAAAATACCTGATCAGGTATTCTGGAGCTCGATCGGGTATTAACCCTTATCCACTGCGCAACGTTTCAAAATACCCGACCGTCCCTTAAAATACCCGGCCAGGTATTATGACCGGGTATCACGTTCTGCTTCCTTTTGAGGGAAAGAATACCAATTTTACAAGGAATCCGATTTTGGAGAGTTAGAGAGCAGAATACCTAGAGAGAGAAAGTGACGAAAAGAACTTCCAAGGGCCCTAAATCGATCTTCAACACCATTGGAGCTCGGTGGAAGCTTGGAGGAGTGCCGATTGATTACCAGAAGCAGATCCTCATTCTTCACAGTATGAATTCCGCATTTGAAGCATATTTTCCTTCACTCTCTATGGAGTAAACTCCCTTTCTCACTTGGGTATAAAGAACCCTAGATTTGTATGTTAGGTATGATAGTATGAACCCAAGTACGAATTCTTTGAGACTTATTATATTCAATTAAGGCATAGTTTTTTGAATTGCATGAATCCTGATCAAATTCCTGTTATTCCTGCTTTGACCTAGAATGAGAATATCTGCCTAGGTTGATAGAGCACCCTTGATTGAAGGTAGTGAATTGACGACTTTAGTCGAGGAGTCGATTCACTATTCTGTACTGGATTTATTCCAGTAGAGGAGGTTTGGTACGTTAGGGCCTCAGTCTGTCTACTCCGATG